CCCGGCTGACGCTGACGCTCGCCCCGGTGTGGTGCAGGAGGCGGCGGGGCCGGTCCTGGGGCGGCGCGGGCGCGGCGGGGACTTCAACGCCGACTTCGTGTTCGCGGAGAAGGAGACTGCGGGCGGCGGCGGGGCCTGGGCCGAGGCGCTGCGGCAGCTCAAGGGGAAGGTGAGCGGGGGCGGGGCCGGTCCCTTCCTTCCCGCAGCGAGGACTCCGCGTCCCGGGGCTGGAGGGAGGTTTCTTTCTTCGGGGGCCAGTTTAGCCCAGGGGCCTTGGTCGCTTTGATGTAAATTCCCTTTTGGACCCAGCGTGAGGCTGCTGCCTTCTTTCTGGGGCGCCCCACGACCCCGAGGCCAGGCCGTGCAGGGGCTCCGCGGCTTTCCCTGATTCTTTGCCTTTCTCTGCCCAGCGAGCAGCCACGACGCTGGATGAGAAGATTGAAAAAGTGAGAAAGAAAAGGAAAGCCCAGGTCAGTGGTGCTCAGCAACTGGGAAGAAAACCACCTTTCTGGTGCTTCTCACTGTGAGAGAGGCATAGGGCAGGGGCAGAGGACAGGACTCTGCTTTTCATACTGTTCCTGTTCCCAGAGAGGTTTACCTTTGAAACAGGTGCTTGGAGGGTGGCTGGAGTCATCTTTACACTTTTCAGGTCGCAGATTCCCTGTCTCTGTTTAGGAAAGAGACGCAAAACGAGCAAAGACAAAGGAGGAGGACACAGGCGCGGAAAAGGAAGATGAAAATAAAGAACGAGAGAACGAAGAAAGCAGGGAGGAGGAGGAGGATGTGGAGTCCCAGTATTCCTCAGCTGACGAGAGCATCTTCACACAAGCAGGTATTAGGAGGGCACGAGGATTTGTTGGGGAGCCATAGTCGGTGCCTCCTCTCTCAGCGAGCCCCCAACACTTTCTTGTGATCTGTGCCCCTGTCGGGGGGAAAGGACCTTGCTTGATATTCCACTTCCAGCCTGCCTTGGCGCCCCCCTCCCGGGATATGCCCTTGGTTCCTGCTTGGCTGGAGCTGTTCTCAGTCGATACTTGATGCTCAGCACTTTCCCTTTTCTACAGATACCCTCAAGGTGAAAGAGCGGAAGAGAAAGGGGAAAGGAGAAGCAGTGGTGAGTATCAGGGTGAGAGGGAAAGAATGACACTGTTTTTTCGTCCAGCACCTTTCCTCCCAAGGAATCCAACCTTGTCACCAGCGAGAGCAGGTAGGCAGGCGCAGCGTGTGCTGCATCTTGTTTCGAGTCTTCCTCTCGGTTTTTGGTTCTGCAGGAAAGAGAGAGATTTTTTGAAGATGCATCTCACTATGATGACAGCTTGTCATTCCAAGACATGAACCTCTCTCGCCCTCTGCTAAAGGTATTGCCCTGTTTCAGCCTCTGCACAAGGTTGTAGAGAACATGGAAAATTTCACAGCTGCTCCTGCTAGGAGAGACGGGCTGTGTGGGAACCCCCAGTTGCAGTCTCTCCCTGCCAGGCAGGGGCTGTAGGGGATGACGTGCGAGTACCAGCCCTCACAGAGACACTGTCTCCTGCATCCTATCTTGAGCTGCACGTGAGACTTCCCGTTCCTTGGTCAGATGCCTAGCTTTTCTCTCTCCTTGGCAGGCAATCACAGCACTTGGCTTCAGGCAGCCAACCCCAGTCCAGAAAGCCTGTATCCCAGTAGGCCTGTTGGGGAAGGATATTTGCGCCTGTGCTGCCACAGGGACAGGTAGGGGCCTGGAAGGGAGGGAAGGAGGCTGCTCTGGGTAGTAGTTAGATCCTTGGGGTTGGCTGATTGCTGGTGCTCTCTGTTTTGCAGGTAAAACAGCTGCCTTCATTTTGCCTGTGCTGGAGCGCTTGATCTATAAGCCTCGTCAGGCTCCTGTGACCCGGGTGCTGGTTCTGGTGCCAACCCGGGAGCTGGGTATTCAGGTGCACTCTGTCACCAAAGAGCTGGCACAGTTCAGCAGCATCACAACCTGCCTTGCTGTAGGTGAGTATTATCCCTGGGGCTGGGAGTTTTAGCTTTCAGGGGCTACACTTAGCGTTACCACTAGTGGGTGAGAGGAGCATCTTGGGAATCCTGCAATTAAAGCTGCTTGGGCTGCGGGGCTCTTCTGGGGCTTCAGGCTAGAGCCGCATCTGCTGGGCAGGAAGGGGAGGAGGTCCCTCCTGGGGATTTCCAAGTTTCCCACTGAGAGGCATCCTTCGCCTGGTGGAGGCGGGTTTGGAGCTTCTGTCCTTGCCGTACTGCACAGCTCATGGCCCATGGCGGGGGGTTTCACCTCACAGGCGGCTTGGATGTAAAGACTCAGGAGGCAGCGCTGCGGTCTGGGCCAGACGTTCTCATTGCCACACCCGGGCGTCTGATCGATCATCTCCACAACTGTCCGTCCTTCCATCTGAGCAGCATCGAGGTGCTCATCTTGGATGAGGCTGACAGGTAAGCTGGGCAGGGGCGGTGCAGGCCTGGCTCTGCCACATCCATCCCTAGCAAGTGCATTGTGCCCAAGCAACAGGGCTTCCAGCCTCACAGGGGAGCAGTGTGCATCTGGTCCTGATGGGGAGACCAGCGTTGCTCCAGCTGCCGCACGGCACTGCTTCTTTCCTCTCCAGGATGCTGGATGAGTACTTCGAGGAGCAGATGAAGGAAATAATCCGCCTCTGCTCCCACCACCGGCAGACTATGCTCTTCTCCGCTACCATGACAGACGAGGTAAGAAAAGGCCCTTGGGTGGGCTGCCAGGTGGCCTGAGCAGCCCAGGCCAGAAGCTGTGGTGAGCAGTCGGCTCCTTCTTCCTGACTGTAGTGATACGTCTCCACTCTGCTTTGGCAGGTGAAGGATTTAGCTTCTGTGTCCCTGAAGAATCCCGTCCGGATCTTTGTGAACAGCAACACGGAAGTGGCCCCCTTCCTGCGGCAGGAATTCATCCGCATCCGACCCAACCGAGAAGGGGACCGCGAAGCCATTGTGTCAGGTGGGTGAGCCCTTGTGGGTGGTGGGCAAGTTGAAGTCCGTGGTTTGTGAAGGGCAGAGCTGACTGGCCTCTGTCTTCCAGCTTTGCTGACGCGAACCTTCCCCGACCACGTGATGCTTTTCACCCAGACCAAGAAGCAGGCTCATCGGCTGCACATCCTGCTGGGGCTGATGGGCTTGCAGGTTGGGGAGCTGCATGGCAACTTGTCTCAGACACAGCGTCTGGAGGCCCTAAGGTAGGGTGTTATGGGCAGCTGGAAGGAGGAGGGGTGGTGGGCAGGAGGCAGCTGTGTGACAGCCTGTGCTCTGCCTGTGTTAAGGCGCTTTAAGGATGAGCAGATCGACGTCCTGGTGGCCACAGATGTTGCAGCACGAGGACTGGACATTGAGGGTGTCAAAACAGTGAGTGCTTGCAAGGCTCTGTTTCTCCAGAGTCGCAGAAGCCTGCCCCGGCTAACCCATCTCTCCTATCCAGGTGATTAACTTCACCATGCCCAACACTGTAAAGCACTACGTGCACCGTGTGGGGAGGACAGCGCGGGCAGGCCGGGCCGGGCGCTCGGTCTCGCTGGTGGGCGAGGAGGAACGCAAGATGCTAAAGGAGATCGTGAAGACGGCCAAGACGCCAGTGAAGGCCAGAATCCTCCCCCAGGGTTGGTGCCTTGCCAAGGTGGAAGGAGTGAACAGGGAGCTCAGGGTACAAACAGACTAGACAGAGGGTGGGGGGCAGTGGTGAATAGCAGGCATGAGCCATGTCTCCGGCTGGCTTTTGCTAGAGGGTACAGGCAGGAAGACCTGGTGGGTGGCAGGTTACAAACACACTAGACACGGAGCAAGGGTGTGAGGTGGTGAATGCAGGTGGGGGTCACTTGAGCTGCATCTCAGGCTGGCTCTTGCTGGGTGGTTCCAGATGTGATCCTGAAGTTCCGGGAAAAGATCGAGACCCTGGAGAAGGATGTGTATGCGGTGCTGCGCCTGGAGCGTGAGGAGCGTGAGATGCAGCAGTCGGAGGCTCAAGTAAGCACGCAGGGATCTGCTGGGGGTTGGGGCACTCAGGAAAGTAGAGTTCAATTCCAGTCCCCTGGCCCAACTGCTCCATGGAGCTGGGAAGGCCGTGACCTCCTGTGGGCTTGGTGCGGCCTTGGCAGTCATCTGGTGGTGTGACCTGGGTCCTGGCTTCACATAGTGCAGCCCCCAGGCGCTGTACTGGAATGAGGAGAATAGCTGTGATTGAGCTCACTCCTACTTGGGCACATCCCACAGATTAACAAGGCTAAGCAGCAACTGGAGAAGGGAAACCAGGAGAAGGTAGACAAGGAGCCTGAGCGGAGCTGGTTTCAAACTCGAGAGGAGAGGAAGAAAGAGAAACGTGAGTCAGGAACTGAGGGTGCTTAGGCTTGGGGCCTGTTCCTGCTGCATATTTGTTCTGGACTTCCACGTATTTTTTTCACTCTGTGTCTGTCCGTCTTCAGTGGCTAAAGCCCTTCAGGAGTTTGACCTGGCGCTGAGAGGCAAGAAGAAAAGGAAGAAGTTTATGCAGGACACACAAAAGAAAGGCCAGATGACGGTGAGCAGATGGGCGGAGAGGCAGGGGGCCGAGTTGGGGTGGCTTGGTGTGCGTCCTGTCCCCGCATGAGAGTCGAAGACTGTCCCCTGGCATGTGTGTCTCTTGCAGCCAGAGGAGAGGTCGCAGTTTGAAATCCTGAAGTCACAGATGTACGCAGAGCGAGTGGCAAAGAGGGCCCGCCGAGGGAAGCGAGCCCGAGCCCTGCCAGAGGAACAGCCCTCAGCAGCAGCAGGTGGGGAGAGAGCTGCTACTTCTCTGCAGGGACAGATCAGGAGCTATCCCTTTTGCTGGGCCCTTATTATGGCTCCACATGGGGTGTGCACACTGGCTCTGGACAGCAGGACTCCTTGTGCTCATGAGCATAGGCTAAGGCCATGCCGGTTGTTTGGTTGGGTGCAGTGTAACTGGCCCCACTCAGTCTGCAGTGCCATGCAGACTGGTGCAGTGGGGGCTTGTATTTGGGGGGAAGAGCCCTTCCCTGGGCCTAGAGCTTGTGTCTTGGTGGCTATGCAAGTCACACCCTGGGCCTGGTGACTGGCCAGCATTGTGCCCTTCTGTGCCACCTGGCTGACTTCTTTTCTTCCTGTCGCTGTTTCTCAGGCCCCAAACAGAAGAAGTCATCTGTATTTGATGAGGAGCTCACCAACACAAGCAGGAAGGCCCTGAAGCAGTATCGTGCTGGGTAACGCCTCTCTACTGCTCTAGGGCATGCACAGCCTTAGAGGCAGGGGACACCATTCCTGAGGGAGCCCTCCCCTGCTCTTCCTTCTCTGAAGGGCACCAGGGAGCTCTGGGGGTTGCTCGACCTCCCCATGGTACCTCATGGGGGGGGACAGTGAGCACCTCTGCTCAGCAGGCCCCTGCTACATCTGTAAAGCCCTTCCAGGAATGAGGGGGTGGGTGGGAGGGAAACCCCACCTTTGCCGGGGAGTGGGGCAGTAGCAGAGGGTGAGGAAGGGGCATGATGTGCTGTTCCACTACTGAGGCGGCAAGGCTCCTGAGCCCTAGGGAAACACTGGCTGCTTATGGCAGGGGAAATGTGCACCCTGTGGGTGGTGACTGAGCTGTGCCATGGGGCTGCGCATTGCCTTATGGTGCTCTCCCTGCAGGCCCTCATTTGAAGAGCGGAAGCGGCTGGGTCTTGCCCATCACAGAAAAGGAGGAAACTTCAAATCCAAGTCCAGGTGAGGGCACCATTGCTTGTGTTCTCAAGGCTTCCTGTCCCATGTTGTCATCTTCCTTCCCCTATCAGCCTGTTTAAAAGGCCACAGCGGAGAAGCATCCTTTGTGTTCAGGCTGGCACAGAGCCAGCCCTGCTGCTCTGGAGTGAGGCCCCCCACTGAGGAGCAGCTGCAGACAATACCTTCAGTAGCATGCTGCTCCTCAGCAGGTGTTTGGTGCTTGCACCCATGGGGGCAAGGGCTGTGACTTCAGCATTGGTCTTTCTGCAGGTACAAGAGGAAGTGACAGATGTTTTGTTGAGAGCATTACCTGGGATGTGCTGCCACAGGAGACAGTGGACCTCGGCAGCAAGGATCCTGCTTCCCTTTGTGATGGCAGAAGTCACACAGCCTCTCTTCTGGGCTGAACTTCCAGTGTCTGATTCCAAGATGTGCTGTAACTGTAGGAGCACCTGATGAAGAGCCCCAGGGGAAAACTGTATCTGCTGTAGCTATACAGTAAAGGGTCAACCTCTCTATGCTGGTGATAGTCCGCTGTGCTTGCCTATAGCAGCTGCTAGTGTTTGAGAGTGGGCGTAAAGCAAAACGGTTCAAGATGCCCCTGGCTTAGCTGCAGTAATCCTGTTGTCCTGCAGGTTCTGTAGCAGCTCCACAAACAGGGAAATCCCTACCTCTGGTTTCCATCCATCAGCCTCTGCTCAGCAGGGGTGGCTGCATCTACAGTGTAAAAAAGGTCTTACAGGGGAGCCATGACTGGCCTTGTAGTGTTACTGCAGCAGAGGAGAGTGCCTGCTGCTCAAGGGACTTTCTTATACAGAGAAGGAAGAGGCTCACTGCCCTCCTGCTTGGAAGTAGGTTATAGGTCCTGGGCTATTGCAGACAAGTGAGCTTGCAACCTGATGCATGTGTGTGGAGGAAAGGTAGGGGTTGAAAAGGGAGTGAGGTCAAGGGCCATGTGTTTTGCCCAGCCTGCTCATCTTGCAGTGTGGTGATTGAAGGGTGCAGGGTGGAGTGGGAGCCTCCCCATTCATGCTGCCTCCTTAGCTGCTTGGCAGGGCACAGAGTTCCCCTGTCACTTGTCCTGCTAGGCAGCTCCTGCTTTTGCTTCACACAACTTGATCTGACTCCTGTTCCCACTGTTCAAACTGTCATTCTAGTTGCAGATGGTTCAGGTCTCTCAACCACCCTGTACAACAGGCTGCAGAATGCCTGCTCAGCTCCTATCCACTCTGCATTCCCTCACTAGAGAGCACCCCACTGCAAGGGAGACACACAGCCCAGCCATTAGAAAGTTTTCTACTTTATTAAAAAGGGACAAATCTTACAGTCACTAAATAGAAAATATACACGGTGAAATGCAGCTACAGTTGGATAGGAGCAGCCAGCGAGCAGTCCTGTTCACTTAATGCCAGCAGAGCACATGTTAGGGTCTGGGTGGGCGCATGCCAGGAGGAGGGGGACCTGGAAGTGGGGAAAAGAGCCTGGTTTAGATGTCTACTCATAACACAGCTGAGGCACACTAGCAGCCACCAGGCTAGTCCCCATTACAGGGGCTCTCCTATAATACTTCCTCCAGGAGGCCTAGACTCCTTGTGGCAAGCCTGAGAGCAGCCTCCTGAGTGCCTGAGCAGGAGAACACAGTTCTGGTCTGCTGCACTTGGCTGAAACGGTGCATTTGCCTAGAGCCATGCTGCTTCAGCACACAGTCAAAATATGCTCCCCACCTTCCAGAGCCAAAATGAGACCCCTCCACTCACCTCTCATCCCAGAGGGAGGCGGAAGATGACCCCTCCACTCACCTCTCATCCCAGGGGGAGGCGGTCTCATTCCTGGGGGAGGCATCCCCATTGGTGCCCCTCGGCCAGGTGGCATTCCCATTGGTGGACCCATGGGCGGTCTCATGCCAGGAGGTGGCCCCATCATTCCTGCAAGGAGAAAAAGGGTCAGTCCCAGGCCTTGAGTAGGGCTAGCCTTCAGGGACAAGCACAGAATCGCGGGCCAATCCTACCCAGCCACCCAACACATTTTTTGCTTGTTGGTTGCTACTTTCCTAGATGAGATGTGTAGACCCAGCTGGACTTCAGAGTAATCCTGCTTAATACCAACTCATCATTTGGTTCAGATGAGGTTGAAATTCATCACCAGTCCAGCCAAGTACCACGGGTCCTGTATTGCCCCAGATTTTAAGCAGAGTAGTTCCTTACCTGGAGGAGGTGCTCCTCTGCTCATGGGTGGTGGAGGCCCCCCGCGGCCTGGTGTGTACTGCGTTGGGGCTCCTGCTATGCTAGCAGTGGCCGCGGCAGCAGCTGCAGCTACTGTTCCGCGGCCCTGGGGCGTCATCACCTGTAATCGAAAGGAAAGAGTTCACAGAAATGCTCTGCAGGGCGCTGCCCTGACTGCCAGCAGGGTACAAGATGAACTTCACCTCTGCTCATTGCTTGGATGCATTGCCCCTGCCTCCCACCTGCATACAGGCCCATGTTACAAAACGGGGTCATGAGTCCCTACACGACAGGCAGTTGTGGGGGGTAGAGAGTGAAAGTAAATTAGTTTTGTGCTGAAGGCTGACCCTCCTTCAGCCCATCCCTTCAGTGTGTACTCTGCATGTGTGGGGGAGTCTGGGATGAAGCTCAGCTGCCCGAGAGCTTAGCTAACAGCTATTGCAAACCACAGCAGCCTGGTGCCAACTGATCCTCACGGCACGTCACAGCTAAGGACTGGGCATCTGGGCAGGAAGTGGAGTCCCTTTCCAGGAAACCCCAGCATCTCACCTGTTGGGATGGTCCTCCCACTCCCCGAACTGGGCCGGCCAGCCCTGCTGGAGCCTGGGGCATGGGGGCCCCGGCTGGCACTCCTCGCCCAGCTGCCCTCCCCACGCCAGGTCCTCCTGCAGCTCCGGCCAGGGGCACGCGGGCAATGCCGGTCTGAAAAACCAGGAAGAACAATCAATGTGGTGAGCAGCTCGCGGCGGGGTGCTCAGCAGCCCATTAGCCTTCTGGGACCAGAGAGGGGAGACCGCACAGCCTGAAGGGAGCGGGCTCACGGCCAGGACATGGTCCTTGGCTCCTCACATCTTTCGGGGGCGGCCCCTCCACCGTCATGGACACCAGGTTCTCTCCCCGCAGCAGCACCAGCCCCAGGACGCGCTTCTCCTCTCGCTCCGGCTGCTTCGAGTTCTTGGGCCTGGAGTGGGGGGGAAGAGGCGGGGCGGCGTGAGGCCCCGAGCAACCCCCCACCCCCAGGGCAGCGCCGCCCCCTCCCGGGCAGCCCCCCTCACTTGATTTTGCGGAACTCGTCGCAGTCGCACAGGATGAGGTTCATGTGCTTGTCGAAGGCCTTGAAGGTGCCGATGAAGACGCGACCGTCCTGCAGGATGCAGCGCATGCGGTAATCGATGTGCTGCAGCATCTTGCTGCTCTTCCCCACCGTCTGCGGG